AACTATGAATGGGCACAATGAGCAATGTTTTCTGTTTTACAATCTAGTGTTTTCAGTCGATTAAAAATGTATATATTTACTGCTCAGAACTATGTGCTGTTTATGTATTTTAGTTTAATAAAACATTTGTATGTTTTTTTTTTTTTTCGTACTTATATAACATTACAGTCACATTAAGACACAACAGGTATAAATTGTTTTTTTTGTTCCTTTGAAAGAAAAGTTAGATAAACATTTTACCTGAACCTCTTTGAATCAGATATTACATTATAATGCTCTCATTTTGGCTAAAGTTTGTACGCTGTTGCTGTGAAAATGAACAAATCATACCATATCATTAAACCACAATTACATAGAACAAATTATCATTTTTGTGTGAAATTACTTTGATAGCTCTGTTTTCCTCTGAAATGAAGCTGCTAAAAATATGCACTGAATCTGAAATGTAGTCATACTTTATCGTAGGCATGTCAAACTCAGGCCCATAGACCAAATCTGGCCCTCAAGACAATTTTTAGTGGCCCCTAAGATTTTCCATTATTATTATGAACTTGCAGCATTGATGGCGATGGGCTACCGAGGCATGCTATACATAATCTACTGTCTCAGAGAAGCAGTTAAATATAAAATAATGTCTGTAACTTTATGTTTAATTAAGGTTTTGGTTAAATCTAAACGATAAACATATTCTGTTTTCTGAAAAATCAACCGGGAAATAATAATGAAACTGTCAAATAAAAGCCATGTCACAAATTCTTCATAATGTAAAAAACAATGAATGCCTTCTGTTCTTTTTGACACCACTGCTCTATGTCTAAAAATATATTGTTTCCGCAAAGTGTACAACCCCTGCAAAACCTGAACACACAATTATTTAAGTTGATGTTCATCAAATGTGTTGGACCCTGAAACCAGCTAAAACACCCACACTAAACAAACTTCTGAATGTGAGAGTGGGAAAACGCGTCCCCTGATTGTGGTTAAACATGGCGCGCTCATAAAAGTTGAATGAAGATCTGAGCATTGTGTTCTCTGATCTGGTTTCCCCCGTCTCCCCCTCGGTCCACAAGAGCAGACGGCAAAAGCTCTCTCCCCGCTGTAAACTTGAGGATACAGTGGAGGAGTGGGAGCTGTGTCAATACTGACAAATGAAACCCATGAACTGCAGTGTAGTTATTCTGCAGGTTAATACGTATTAGATAAATATGGCCCAAAGATGTTTATTTAACCCTAACCCTACATTTAGATTTTTTGCAAATACATGTATCCATCTATCTATCTGTCTACCTACACCTACAAGATACAAGAATTTATTTGCCATTTGCAGTAGAACCCCATGGGAAAAACTGTGCAAGACCACCCCAGTGACCCCAGACAGAGAAGACGGCTCACACCAGAGCTCTTGCCATCCATCCCTCCATCCATACCTTATTGTACTTATTTAAATATACTTCATAAATACTCTGTGGGCGGTACGGTGGCTGAGGGGATAGCACTCTCGCAAGAAGGTCCTGGGTTCGAATCCCGGTCGGAACAGGGCCTTTCTGAGTGGAGTTTGCATTTTCTCCCCGTGTCTGCGTTGGTTTTCTCCGGGTGCTCCGGTTTCCCCTACCACTAAAAACATGCACAATAGGTATGAATGTAAATGAGAGAGTGTGTTCAGCGACTTGCTTCTGTCATCACCGTGTGTGGAATGATGGGAACAATATCTAACATTGTAGAGCACTTTGGGTGACCATGGCCTGTAAAATGCGCTATATAAATAAACATTGCTAACTTACTTATATATTTTTTCTGCCATAATTTGCAAATTCTTTGAAAATCAGTCAATTTGATTTTTTGGATTTTTCATAGTCTTGCATAGCCTTGATCTTTCAGTGGGGGCTTTGGGCAAAGTGGGGTTAAGTGTCTTGCCCAAGGACACAACAACAGCAGTCAACAGTGGGAGTCGGTGGAGAAGGTGTGGAGGTGGGAATTGAACCCACGACCTTCTGGCCTTAAGGCCAATGCTCTACCAACTGAGCTACTGTCAAAACAGTTATTACATTTGTTATTGTTACTTACATACATAATAAAATCTTACCACCAACGCATCACATATTGGTCTAACTGTAAGTCATAGGTAAAATTTCCATTCCATTATTATTGAAATACTGATAGTTAAGACGTAGAATCTCATTTTCTTTTCTTTTTCCATTGTAGCCGGAGCGCAGTGATGTGAAACAAGGGTGGCTTCTTCTGTGCTACACATTTGCTTTGTCCCCATCTCCCAAAGTGACAGAAAATTCAAACATTTACATAATTTGTCTTTTTTTTCTCCACATTCTAAAACAATTGAGTCCTTGTGCTAACTTTGTCAAGACTCCACCTTGTAGTCACTGGAAGGTTCAAACTTTCCGAGGATTGCCGATAATTTGGATCGCGTTTCGGCCTTCTTTGCTGCCACAAAAAATAAAAAAAAACTTGTCTTTTCCCTGCTTATCTCGCACTAATCTACTGCAGTGAGCCTTTGGGATCCGCTCGCGTTTTTGCATTGATCACAGGGATTTAGCAGAAAAAAAGTTTAGGGAGAAGTTACTTGCCGGAGGAGTTCACTCTGGGACATAGCTGCATTTACGATGAATTATGCACACACAAAAAAACACCTCTATTGTTTATGTTGACATCAGGGTTTTCTCAGCTCCAGGGATATCGGTGAATGAGTTGTTAGAGATTGACGTCTTTGTTGAGATTTGGGATTTTTTTTTTTTTTCTTCGAATACGCAAATGAACTGGTTACAAGATGACCCGAGGGAGGGGAGTGTCGCAGCAGGGTACCCCATCGAGAGTGCGTGGTTTTGGGGAGGTGGGAGTTTGGTGGCGTGGGTAAACAATGCAAAAGCTCAAAGGGATGGCAAACAAAGGTAGTGTGTGTGTGTGTGTTGTGTGTGCGTGTGTGTTGTGTGTGCGTGTGTGTGTGTCTGTGTTGTGTGTGTATTTTCAACAGATATTGACGTTGTATGCTAATATATTTGCTTTGGTCTTGTACCTCAACGTCCCTAAAGTGACAAAAGTGTGTACGCGGCATTGAAATTGAAATTTGGAATAAGACGAGAGAAAATGACTGATGTGTTCAAAAAGTTTTGTCTCTTTTAGCTTTGATAAGAACTCATGTGTTTCAGCTTTAAAGGGTGCATGCATTATTTTTGCTCAGAAGGATAGTTTTATCTGGAATAATCCATAGTAGGGCTTTAAATAGTTATACATGCATCAAAAAATAGGCACTAGGGAAAAAAATGGGTTGGTTTGGTTTTTGGATTATGGAAAATAATTCTGGATATTTCTCAAATCCAGAATTGAAAATACACCTAGTTCAAAACAATACAAAAGCAAAAAATGCTAAATTAAATGACTGTTTTCTCAAGGTATTTGGATATTCAATACTGCACACACTAGAAATCATTCTCCGACCCATCTTATTTAGTTCTCTCTGTCACATGCATGCGTTTTTAGCCTCTGTCTCTTTTTATATTTGCTTTTTCTGGCAGAAAAAAAATCTAATACTGACTGTGTTGCGGTCTGATTTGTCCACGACATTTCATTTTTCCAAGACTTTTTCTGCTTGTTCAAGATAAAGAGTTTGACAAACTAAAAGAAAGAAATGTATTAATTATGAAAGAAAAAAAACTACCCCTTCTTTAATTTTGCAGCCCTCAAATTGGAGTCCACCACCCTGGCCCTATACGGCGAACAATCGCTGCTTCACCCTCCCTTTCTTTTTCCTTTCCAACTTCACACAAAGCGTCTTTAAAACTCTCTTCTCAAATTGCTGCCAACTCTTGAAAAGACCTCCCTTTTCCTTTATAGCCCATTACATCTTAACCCACTCTCACACATCCATCAAGAGCAGATTAAGTGCAAAATAAACCCAGCCCCTTCTCCGTATCTGAGGGCCTCATTTGTGCTGCTGAGAGCCCGCTCGCTCATAAGTGTCTGGAAGGGGCCTCTCCAGCTCCGCTCTTGTCCAAAAAGGTGATTTGTACCATTACTAAAAGGTCCCCAAGGGCTGTCCCGGAGAAGTGAAAGCCATTTTTAACGCGCGCCTCACTGCAGGTATTTCCTCTGCACGCTGGGACAGAATCACTGTTTGTTTTGTCTTCTCGGCCGAGGATATTACTCAAGAGAAAGCCGGGTTTAAAGCTGCGATGATGGGCGAGTTTGGGTCACGGACACGGGGCAGAGAACCAGCAGAAGGACTGTAGTGGAGGGATAGTATGACGACTTTCTGCTCTCACGCTTTCATCAGCTTTGTTGTACTGTAAATGGTTAAGAAGTGATAATGGATAGTGATATGGAATGGTTAGTTATTGCTTAGATATTGTCAGGTTTTATTATAAACTCATCTATAATAGTATAATACACTTTTTAAACACCATTTCCAGATTTGGAATGATTGGATTTTTTAGTATTTCGTCCCTACAGTTTGTAATGGGGGAAAAACAGTGAGATATGTTCAAAATATCAGCTCTTCCCTATTAGGCTTCACAGAGCTTGTAGGTTAACACTGTCCATCTACACACACGCTATGGATTTGTCTCAACGTAACATAGTAGTAACATATTTGGGTAATTCTATCGCTATGACTAAAACATCCCATTGAACTGTAATAATTCACCATCAATAAATTGAAAACAAATTGATTATTATCACAATTTTGTCATTAAGACTCAAATTACTTATCATGTTTTCCTTAATTATTCATTGTGTAATTGTGATATTGTCAAGAAGTCTTAACAAATCTTTTTTTATAGATATAATATAATATCAAACTGTCTGCATTTTGCACATATTTCTGTTCCTGCCTGGGGATGAAATGATCTTTATAGCTGTAATCTTGCATTGGCACATTTCTTCACATGTGTTTGTAATGTGCCTTGTTCCTACCAAATAAATAAATACAAATGAACATTATATTTTGAGAATATCCTGAATCCTGACTTTGTCTCTGTCTCTGCCCACAGCCCAATGACCCTGTGACAAACATCTGCCAGGCTGCGGACAAGCAGCTCTTCACGCTGGTGGAGTGGGCCAAGAGGATCCCCCATTTCTCCGAGCTGCCGTTGGACGACCAGGTCATCCTCCTACGAGCAGGTAATGAGACAAGATGCAGCACAGGAGACAGTCTTGTCTTTTGTATGCATGTGCCAGTTACAAATTGCTTCTAACAATCATCACTGAGAGAAAAACCTCATCGTCTTGTGGTGAACACATTTGTTTAGGTCCGGGACAAACATTGACACATCCATGACAATAACAAACATAAGGCAGGGTTCTCTAAAGTCTTGGTATTTGGTCTCACCACAATCTAGATCCCACTCCCCAATCCTAACCTCAACCAAATGATCTGATCCCTCTGCTACTATGGCATGTTATACTACATAAGTATAACAACATACCTGTTGTCTCAGGAAGACAACCATGTGCTTGTAACTGTTCTGAAATGTTAACTAGAATATGATTATAAGTAATAGTTACTTTCATTTTTACCATGTTTGGTCTGATTGTGGTTGAAACCTACTAGGTTTAATCCAAACTAATGTCAAATAGATATTTTGTCAAAAGACGTTCACCCTCCCGGCCCCAACCAGCTCTTATGTTTTTAAATGTATATTAATTAAACTTAAAATTAAAAATTAAAAATTAAAAATTCCATCCAACCATTCTCTTCCCCTTAATCCATTTCTGGGTCGGGGGGTGGCAGTCAGAGCTGCACCCAGTACACAGTACCCCTCACTGATCCTCCTGCAGGTGGTGAGTCCACAGAAGCTGAGATCTTTCAGCGGGGACTTCAGGCAAAGTGGGGCTAATTGTCTTGCCCAAGGACACAATGACAGCAGTCATCAGTGGGAGTGGTGAAGTAGGTCTTGTGGTGGGCTCGAACCCACGACCTTCAGGCTCAAAGGCCAATGCTCTACCATCTGAGCTACTGTCACCCCTAAAAAATTTAAAATGTATATTAAATAGATTGGATAATTTATTGCACACCCTGATATATTTAGTAACTATACTTATCATACATCTTTTTGAATTATTTGTATTTCCTACAGTACACAATGTGAAACAGAAATCAAATTGCACTAAACACGATAATTATGTGAAGTGAGGAAGAAGCATAAGTCCCAAAAATTACATCTCTTGTAAAACTCAAATCTTAAATCCACCCGTTGCTAGGGAACAAATGGACAGCAACATGGAAATATACAGTAGATAAATACCACTTTCCGGCCATGCTTGAAGTGCTTTGTTGTTCCCATTATCCTTAAACTCTATCTTTTCAGTTGCAGACTATAACTGTGGCGGCAATTGGTTAAAAGCCTGTTGTCGCAAACTGGAAAACATTTTGTGTATTTTTGTATAAGAGACGTCCTCAGCCTTGGGAAGAATCCATGTCCCACAACATAGATACTGCAAAAATATAGGTTTCTCACTTTTGAGTCACTCCTTTCCGATGTGCAGGAGAGTCTAAGGACAGTGATGATCTGAGACATTTAGGGACATTTGTGGAATTCTTTCTTTCTTTTTTTTTTACATATATGGGCATGGCTTCAATTTGTTTGTTATTTAAGCATTACCTTGGTTCTAACTGAGGACCAAGACGACTACTGTTGGAAATTAGGGCGATACATTTGAATTCCATGGACGGATGAGGTCAAAGTAGAACCACATGTTGATTCAGACACTTTCTATTGTCTGTGCTTATACATACACATTTTTTCTCATTAAAAAAGTGCAAGACGGCCGCCGCAATGTCTACAGAGCTTTCTCTAGATGCAGTGTGTAGCTCCATGACCCCACCTGTTTAGTTCGTAGCATCATTCCACATCCGTAGCACGTACCGTAGCCCGATGGAGAGCAGAGAGAGGTGTGAATCCAAAGTCGGGTTTTTCTATAAATAACCGCTTTAGTTCTGCTTTATCACACATAAAAGCTCTTCCCAAGACTCTGGGGATGTGTTGCCGGGCAGACTAGTTAAAGGAGCCCCTGCTGTCGGTCAAAAAAGAAATAAAGCAGTCTTATGTATGGCGGTGTCACAACCTCACATCGTCACGTCAACGTTACCATCTTCATTGTGATGGCAGGCGCGGCTCATCCTTTTTAACACGCTTGTCTCTTCAGATAGCGGGTCTTAATACGCGCGACATGCTAGCTTCTCTACCGCAACGTGGCCGATTCGTTGGGAGTCCCTCAATCGTTGTCACCTCAATTTTGTACAGAAAGCCTTAAATGTGAATTATGCTGTATGTTTTTTTTTTTGTTTTTTTTTAACTGTGTGTTTTTTGTTGCAGGTTGGAACGAGCTGCTGATAGCGTCGTTCTCGCACCGGTCAATAGCGGTGAAGGACGGGATCCTCCTGGCGACCGGACTGCACGTGCACCGAAACAGCGCCCACAGCGCCGGCGTGGGAGCCATCTTTGACAGGTCTGACAAAGAAAAGGGGTTTAGAGCAGAGGGCATTAGCATACTGACAATGATGGAGATTTGCAGTGATTACAAACAGGAGGACCGCGCAGATACCGATATTAAATGTGCTTTATTTATTTATTTATTTATTTATACTTTATTAAGGACTCACATGCAAGCACAGGATCCATAGCTAAGAATAATGAAAGAAAAGTAAAAAAGAAAAAACAGAACAGAGTTAAAACACACATAGTATTTTAGATTCAGATTCAGTTCATTTGTAGCAAAACCCCATTGGAATACATGTGCAAAAGTACCTCAGTGTGCACCAGACAAGGACATAAATAAAACAAGCTAAAAAAAAAGTACAGGCAACAATTGTCACTGTAAAACTAATCAACAAAACAGTTTGAATAAATAAGAAGTGCAAGATCATTAAAGTGCTTCGTTCAGACTCATAAATCCTCGTGCAAAGACGCTGTTATCATTTGGAGATGTCCTGAATCTCAGCAAACAACATCCAACTAACTTACTAACTCATGTACTTACTTACTCGGTCAAAATGAATACAAATCCCTTGAGGCCCCTCGTCATTGGTTTAACTATTCTCCAGCAAGGGACTGTTTTAGGTAAATAAAAGCACAGTGTCCCATGGTCTGAAATATACTTTTTTAATAAATGAAATACAATATAAGTTTCTGGCCTCACTTTTAACTGAGCTTCCAAATACAAAATACAATACAGATAGGACTTGTATAAACACTACTATAAACTTCTAGAACTTCCAGAGCCCTAAACAGTTTTTGGAGGACTTTACAAAAACGTCAAGTTATGAAGAATTTACAGTTCAGTTCAGTCTTTATGTGAAAGGGACAGTGCACAGTGACATGAAGCTCAAAAACAGATACTGTATGTCCTGCACCAGGTCGTAGCTGCACAGCTCATTTCTGTCTGCAGTCCCTGGTTACAAAAAAAATAAATATAAATCAAAAACCATATTATTGCAAAATCTTTAACCACTGTATGTTACTTTGTATTCGCTGCCTGTCCCATTCAAATGAACAGACTGAAAAACCTGAAATAATTAGGACCAGTCATTCTCCCCATTGCTTTTGTTACACTTTTCTTCCGTTGAATTAGAATGACTTAAAAGCTGTAATTGACTGAGCTGTGGCAGGGTGACTGGGTGATCCAGGGGTGATCCAAGGGTGATCCAGGGGTGATGAGTTCATGTGACACCCATAGTATATGATGTCACGCACAGACAGCACAGACAGCAGCACATCGTGGGTGGGGTTTCCGTCTATGTTTACAGCTCCAGCATTTCTCTTTTTTTACAAGTCCCGGTTTTTAAAGTAATGGCTTCGAAGGCTTGTAAAGTTGTTTTTCTTTATTTCTTTTTTGGAGTGTACTGTAGGGCTCGTCGGAGAGAGGTGGTTGACGAATATTACACGGTGGTGTGGCTTTGCATGATTAAAGTGTGTCAGTCGTAAAACGTGTACTTGCGGTTTCGTGTAAAAGCGCCCTGGAGTTTGGAGAAACACAAGTCTACGAGAAAGTGTGTGGTTGTGGTTGTAATTCATTCGATACATTCAGTGATTCTGCCCCCCGGGACAAACATGCACCAGTGTGGCAGCTGTTTGGGGCCTTTGACCTCAGATAACACCACACCATCAGGGCAACATGATCAAAACTAGTATCGATCCACAGTGGCAGAGTGGTTAACGCTTGTGCTTTTACAGCCAGAAGGATTGCATGAATACTAAATTATTTGTAGGTGCTGTGTTTCCATATAGTCATAGTATCTTTATCCTGGGTTTTATTCCACCTCCTTACATGGTGCTTCTGTGTGGAGTTTGCATGTTCTCCCTGTGTCTGCGTAGGTCTTCTTCCAGGTGCTCCGGTTTCCCCTACTACTAAAAACATGTGAAATAGCTCTTTCTGGGCCCAGAACTCCCATGAATAAGATAAGACAATCTGAAATCTTCAGTGGGACTTAACTGGTTTAGTAAAGGCCAATCTATTGTTTTTAAGGCACATTTAAAACAGCTGAAACTTACCAAAGTGCTGTACCATAACATAGTATGATAATAAAATAATAATAATAAAACATCGTATATATATAGTGCTTTTCAAAAACTCAAAGACGCTTCACAATTGAGGATACGCACACATGTTTAGACAGACACACAAAACTAAAAGCAGGAAAGAAGAGTATAAAGTTGAAACTAAGAGTCATATGCTTGGAGGAAGAGGTGAGTTTTTAGATGTTTTTTTAAGGAGTTTATTGAGTCCGAGTTTCTGAGATGAAGGGGGAGAGAGTTCCAGAGAGTGGGAGCAGAGATGGCGAAAGCTCGGTCCCTCAATGTTTGGTGCTTGGATTTGACGTTGGGAGTGAGGAGATGTGAGTCTGCAGATCGGAGTTGACGGGAGGGACTGTAGGGCTGTAGAAGTTCAGTGAGGTATGAAGGAGCAAGGTTATGGATAATGAATAATAATAATAATAATAATAATAATAATGCACCGGTTTTATATAGCGCTTTTTTGGACACTCAAAGACGCTTCACATGTTATTATTATTTCACTTCATACACGGTGGTGATAAACAACTACTGTAGCCACAACTGCCCTGGGGCACACTGACAGAAGCGAGGCAACCAATATGTGCCATTGGCCCCTCTGACCACCAACCATCCTCACACACACTAAACTCATTGCAGGCAATGGGGGTGAAATAAAACTTTGGAGCTATAATTGCACTTGATTCAAGAATAAGTCGCTAGAAGAGTAAACACTGTAGCATCGTGAGGTATTAACAGATGTTTTTATTGTAATTTTTAGCAGCAGAGAATGTGACCGGAATAAACAATAGTAATAATAGCAGTAGGTAAAGTGACTAGTGAATTATCAAAACAGAGTTATCAGATGACTTTAATATGTAATAATATAGTATAGCAGGTAAAGTCATTAACCTGATTATCAGAACAGGTTGATGACATATGTACAGACTCAGCACTTCTCATTGTACAGTCTGACAGCAGCGGAAAGGAAGGCCCGACCGAGCCTCTCCTTGACATATGGAGGGTGTATAAGTCCATCCATCCATCCATTTTCTACCCTTTAATCCATTTCTGGGTCAGGGGGGTGGCAGTCAGAGATGCCACCCAAGTCTCATAGCACCAGCCCCTCACTGACCCTCTGCAGGTGGTGAGTCCACAGGAGGACGGCTGCTCTCTGAGTGTGAGCATAGCCTTGATCTTTCAGCGGGGGATTTGGGCAAAGTGGGGTTAAGTGTCTTGCCCAAGGACACAACGGCAGCAGTCATCAGTGGGAGTCGGTGGAGAAGGTGTGGAGGTGGGAATTGAACCCACGACCTTCAGGCCTGAAGGCCAGTGCTCTACCAACTGAGCTACTGTCGCCCCCGGGGTGATGTAGAAAGATGTTTAAAACTGGGGTGATCTGACTTTTAAACCCCCTGCAGGACACTCTCTCGGCTCTGGAGAGCGCAGTTTCAGTGACAGACTTATACACCCCCCCGGGGCGACAGAGGGGGGTGTATAAGTCTGTCACTGAAACTGCGCTCTCCAGAGCCGAGAGAGTGTCCTGCAGGGGGTTTAAAAGTCAGATCACCCCAGTTTTAAACATCTTTCTCTAGTTCTAATCAAACTAAACACATACATTCATGGATAGCTCTTTGACGTGTGTGTGTTTTTGTTGCCTTCGCAGAGTGCTCACGGAGCTGGTGTCCAAGATGCGGGACATGCAGATGGACAAGACAGAACTGGGCTGCCTGCGAGCGATCGTGCTCTTCAATCCAGGTAACCGTGGCTTTCGCACGCCGCCCCAGAGGAAAGCACGGGAATTAGAGACGTCAAAGAACCCAGAGAGGCGCGCTCGGCTTTGAACTCAACTTTGAAAAGATTTATATAAAGCGGGAGGAATGTTGTGACGTGCCGATCATATAGATGCAGTGGAATGCAGGGGAGGAAATGTAAAGGTGAACTCGGCAAAGTTCAAATACATTTCTCCAGCTAATCGAGAACTGTGTTTATTTGGACACGGACTGGTTTCTGAACTCAAACAAATAGGTAAAAAAAAGAGGATGAAACGCATTGTCAAAGATGAGATTTTTTAGTTTTTGTTTACTAATGTATTTTTAATCTTTATGCATTGCCCAAGGACAACAGTTGAAAACTAGCTTGGTCGCTAGAACTGCCACTTTTACAGAAATGCTCATTAATGTGCATTCTCCCAGTTTATATAAATCAATAGATTAATAATCAAGGATAGGTATTAGTAGGACTGCCGCTCCACATCCTTTTCAGAGACATTGCATCACTTTTATATAAGAAATAATCAAATTAAATAAATTAAAAAACCACAAAAGCAATTTACTAAAATAAATTTGACATTGACATTTTTTACAACAAATATATATTAAGATTTAATTTAAAGTGATTTAAAGTGGATAATCTAGCTTATTCCCATGAAGAAAATGTAAAGGTGACATATAGCGATCGAATCAGCCTACAACATGCTGGCCTTCATTTTGATAGTTTATTTATTGTATATTTAGAGAAAGAGCCCTGTGATTCCGTGTTTGATGCTTAGGGCTTGGAGCTGATTGGCCGAGTGAGGGTTGGTCCTCACTTTTCCATCTGAAAAAGCTGATAATAAAATGTGAGAGGCCAAGACCCCTGATGTGAAAACTTGTGATGAACCAAACTGTTTTGAGATCCAGGAACTAGAGAGAATGTTTTTTTTTGTTTACATAGTTCATAGCTTCAGTGTTTTGATTGCTTATCTAGGTGTTGTTGCTATTGCTATTGAATCGTTAATAAGTGATTATGACAATATTACACAGGATCCCTAGTTAAAAAATGTATTCTGGTGACAGGCCTAGCTTTACTCTGATGTAATATACACAATTTATGGGTGAATTGTTGCTAATTGAAGATTATATTTTGCGTGCTGGTGCTTTTGTGGCAGAATCCCTAACATGACACTAGTCTCGTCGTCCTCACGTGAACGACCAGGCCCAGAGCCAAGAATGCAAATGTTTACCACAGACATCACGCGGACCCTTCCCCTTCTACGCAGTGACAAAAGGGGGGATCGTGGGGAACAGGGTTCATGAGCGTGAGATTGACAGGCGGATCGGTGCAGCGTGCGCAGTGTTGCAGTCGCTGTATCGGACCGTCAAAGGTAAAGAGGGAGCAGAGCCGAAGACAAAGCTCTCGATTTACCAGTCAATCTTCGTTCCCTCCCTCACCTATGGTCATGAGCGGAAGAACAAGATCGCGGATACAAGCGGTCGAAATGAGCTTCCTCCGCAGAGTGGCTGGGCGCTCCCTCTGCGATATGGTGAGGAGCTCAGTCACACGGAAGGAGCTCGGAGTAGAGCCGCTGCTTCTCCACGTCGAGAGGAACCAGTTGAGGTGGCTCGGCCATCTTTTCCGGGTGCCTCCTAGACGCCTCCCTGGGGAGGTGTTCCGGGCACGTCCCACCGGTAGGAGACCCCAAAGGAAGACACAGGACACGCTGGAGGGACCATGTTTCTCAGCTGGCCTGGGAACGCGTTGGTGTCCCCCCAGACGAGCTGGAGGAAGTGTGTGTGGATTGGGAAGTCTGGGTGTCTCTTCTTAAACTGCTGCCCCTGCGACCCGGCAACGAATTAAGGGAAGAAAATGGATGGATGGACAAGAAATGTCTCCCGTGGAATGAGAAAATAAAGTAGCAGTTCTTGAAAATAGGACTAAACGACTTTGTCTCATTGGCCAATTTTGTTTTAAGATAGTCAGAATGTTCTCAAATTAAGATGTTTAAAAAACCCTTGATTCTTGAAATTATTACCACATATTGTATAATTTTTTGCAGTGTGGTTCATCTGAGTCCACTTTGCTCTTCCCTGATCGCACACTGACCCTCTGTCCCCTGACTTCATTAGTTCACCACACTCTCCTTGTCTACTCGGCTCTTCTAAAAAAAAAAAAAACCCAAACGTAGCCCACTCTTTCCCACACTTTGACATCCCGTTCCGGACCATTCCTCCAAAACCTATTCATTGCTCGCTAATTGCCCGATGCTTTGTTGTTTTTTTCGGGATGCTAACTGGGTACGAAGAGGAGGCCTGAATCGGGAAATTATAATTGGTTGGAGTCGGAATGCGATGACAGACCTGTAGCCCAGTTCTCTGTAAGGGTTAGAACTCAACTTGTAAGCTACTGCAGTGAGAATATTGCAGTATTGTTTTTTTTGGTTTTTTTTTGCAAGAGCTTAAGCTGCATGATGTCAGCCAGGGGTAGTACAAAAAGTGCTTCAAGTGAAAACACAAAATATAAAAATTAATTATGTATTTTAAAACAATATAACTACACTGCAAAAAATGCTGAAAAATATGTTTTAAAAATTGCACAAATTTGGTCATGTATTTTAATTTGAGCACATTTTGACTACCTTAAAAAAGGGACAAGCTAAAAAAAAACATCTTAAAAGTATAGAAATGTCTGGATTGGAATGAGAAAAAAAAACTACAATTTTTTAAATAAGGACAATTATTAATTCATATGTTATTATTTTTTGTACTTCCAGCAGAGATGGCCATTCTCGCTCTCAGGCCAAAGCTACATAAATTGACTCCCAAATCTACAAACATGTTTTATAATAATATGAAAACTCATCTTGTTTAAAAGGATCACCCTCCCTGTACAGGGAGGATTCAGATTTTTTTAATTTAACATCATTAGTATTAGAATTCACTTGTGTCAACATAGTCAAGCTATATCTCTTTTGAAAGCTTATTCCCACCTCTAAACGCGTATTATGTTAAAATAAACATTAAATATCACCAAAAGTATGAAAAAGGAGTCAAACTGTATATATATATAAAATATATATCGTCCTTTCTTACCTTTTCATGCTAATATTCTGGGGCAAATCACGTCTAATCCACACATGTGTGCATTCGTTTTGTTTGTGAGGGTTCATAGAATAATTATATCCAGTTGTTTTTTCTACAAAGTCACCCTTATAGTAGATATCCACTTGTAACAACACATTTGAGTATTGAAAGTTGCACAAACAAAAATAAAACCTGTTCTTTGCGCACTGTATGAAGTAGGCATGTTACTGTTTACCCAGCGTCACTGGGTATGTTCGTCTTCCTCTCAGTCTTCCCTTCAAAACAAGCCCATTCCCGAACTTTTCAGTGCTATGGTTTGGGAAGTAGATCAAGTTGACTAAAACAAGCGCACCTAACTTTACCGCTCCAGTCATATAGATATCTGTGCGTCACGACAGCATTGTCTTGACTACCATTGGCCGATTTGGATGTCAATCAAACCATCTTGTAGCCAATAATCTCAGGTTTCAGGCGATGTGTCGGACTTCAAGGTTCCTCCCACTGTTCGAGTCTTATTTGAATGCGTAAGAGAGGAAGGCGGAGCATTTCCACGGAGAACACGCGCTATATCTATATAAATAATAGCTTTTCTGCAAACATTTCAATATCTGGAAAAAATCGTATTTATAGCAAGAGTAATAGCCAAAAAATGATATAATTTGATTTTTGGTGTAATAACGTTGATAATTTGCATGTAAAACACTTTGGCACAATTGGCACAAAAATGGACCGCTTGTGCCGAATGTGCCCATTAGTCACAAAAAAGCCCCCAGCATCAAAATAGTTCCACCTAAAGGTCTAAAATTTCATACAGTTGTTGCCAACACCACAGACATCTGCTCTGGTGAGTTTGAACAACATACCATAAAGTATGTTTTCAGGAGATTATTTTGAAATTGGCTTTTTTTTTTTCGAGACAAAAAAAACTAACTTTGACTCATGTTTGAGAAGGTGTAGTGCAGACTGTGTCCTTCCTAACAAACTGTAACATATATTTCCAGAAACTAGAAGGTGTTACCTTTCAAATGAGGCCTCATAACACAAAATCAGACACAAGATGTCCACACAATAAGCATTTCCATTTGGGTATCATAATTCAAGAAGGAGCAGGCGAAATTAGGTGATCCTTAAAGGGTTAAAGCTGGGGTGCCTAACTTTCACACCACAAAAAGTCAAACTATAGAAGAATCGTATCTAGTTCCAATTTGGGTCTATCGCTAGTTTTCACATGCATGTATTTTTGGCCTCTGTCTCATCTTTAGATCGGGTTTGTCCGAGAGAAATGTGAAAAAGAATGGACCACCCTCTCTCAGCCAATCAGCTCTTAGCTCAAAGTGTCAAATAGTGACTCACAGGGCTCTTTAATACAGTTCTGTGTGTTCTGTAAAACTTCTACTGCAGAATATCAATGTGTTGTTTGTTGCTGATGTTGTAAATGCGATTGTGTTTGTGTTTCCAGATTCCAAAGGGCTGTCGAACCCCGGGGAAGTGGAGGCCCTCAGAGAAAAGGTCTACGCGTCTTTAGAGGCCTACTGTAAACAGAAGTATCCGGAGCAGCCGGGCAGGTGGGTCCCCGTCAGACCACCACAGCCACCAGTAGAAATCAGTTATTCTCTTTAACGCACTTTAGTCCCACTAGATGACAGTCTTTGTGCTTAGAGAGAAGTTTAACATGTAATTGATTAATAGAGAAAACACTTTTTAATTCAAAATGAACTGTAGAAATGTTGAAACTTGTGTCTCAAACAGATTCCCAAAATACAAGTGTAAAACTTCTGTAAATGACTTTGATTGATGGAACATAAACGTTAAGGCACGGTGGCAGAGTGGATAGCACTTTTGCTCCTCAGCAAGAAGGTCCGGGGTTCGAATCCCGGTCGGAACAGGACCTTTCTGAGTGGAGTTTGCATGTTCTCCCCGTGTCTGTGTAGGTTTCCTCTTGGTGCTCCGGTTTCCCCCAAACATTAAAGTGATTGTCTGGAGTTTGTCAGAAAGAGAGACAGAGGGGTACTTGATTTGAAAAAAACTATGAAAGCTCCCTCCCCCTTCCTTTCTGATTGGTCTACACCAACATTTAAATGTTAATCAGAGAACACATTATACATATACATTATCAATACACATGCACAGAGGTTTTCAGAATTATTTGTTAACGTTTTAATGAAAAAAATAATGTTTTTATGCACAATAAAAGCGATCGCGGCAAACCCGGAAGTGCTATTATCATGAATTGAACATTGTAGGACACATCTGCAGAGGATCTGATTATGAATATAGGTTCAGTATATAAATTATTATGGATATAGGTTCAGTATATAAATGATTATGGATATAGGTTCAGTATATAAATGATTATGGATATAGGTTCAGTATATAAATGATTATGGATATAGGTTCAGTATATAAATGATTATGGATATAGGTTCAGTATATAAATGATTATGGATATAGGTTCAGTATATAAATTATTATGGATATAGGTTCAGTATATAAATGATTATGGATATAGGTTCAGTATATAAATGAGTAACTCAGCGCAGATGTTCAGAATTCTTTGTTCAGTTTTCACGTAGTTCCAGAGCCTAATAGAGGCTTGATTCGGAGGCTCCGCAAAAACAAACAACTGAGCATGCGCGCAACTACGAGCATGAGCGCCGATGATTGACAGCCCTTGGCATGACTCGATTGGTTAACCTCGACGGCACCGTGGATTCTGAACTATAACTAAGAGAAGGGAAGGCGGGACTTGCCCCTAATAGTAGAATTAATAAATTGACTTATTTTATGTCAATTTATTTAAGGCCAGGAGGTCAATTTAACACATTTCCTAAAATTTGTAATTCATTTAGAGTTACAGACTATCACTTTAAAAACATGTACAATAGGTCTGGTATGCGCCTCCTGCACTTGTGTCTCCCATCTCTGTTTGGAGTGAGAGACAAATGCCTCGAGAAAATGCAAAAACAATTGTAAAGCGCTATATAAATAAAGATTACTTACTTACTTACTCTGGCCAATCACTGACAATTAGAGCACTTATACCTGCTTGGCCGGGTTAGGACCAGGGCCAAGAGGGACTAACAAGTTCCTGGCACTGGTTTGAACAGGGCAAGTGGAAACGCTCTGTTAGAATAGAGCCAAGTAGATAGATAGATAGATAGATGATAGATGATAGATAGATAGATAGATAGATAGATAGATAGATAGATGGATGGTAAGTGTAGAGAAGAGCCAAGTAGACCAGACTAGAGTAGATCAGACCTGGTGGAAACGGGACTATCGTAACTAAAACCATGGCAACCGGCCTAAATACCGGTTATCCCCGTCTGACCACCGTCCACTCACCACACTTTCTTTCCCCAGGTTCGCCAAGCTGTTGCTACGGTTACCGGCGCTGCGCTCCATCGGCCTCAAGTGTCTGGAGCACCTCTTCTTCTTCAAGCTCATCGGGGACACGCCCATCGACACCTTCCTCATGGAGATGCTCGAAGCCCCCCACCAGATGACATAATGGGGCCCGCAACACCAACCCGGCCCCCCAAGACCCCCTCCCCCCCAAAGACTTTGAACTGGGACCCTTTACCGGAGGGACAAACGCGACAATTTTGGATGGATTTTTTTGCCTTTCTTTCCATTATTTTTCTCTCTTTGCAATGAAATTAAATTGTCTATGTCTACAGCCCGGTTTTGTACATTCTATAAATAAGAATATATATATGAAATCAAGGCGATAAACATTTGAAATGCGGATTTTGAACTTTTTGAGCCATTATTGGGAACTTTCTCCTGCTCATTCTTACAAACGGATTACCGATGATGTCTCAGTTTTGTGATTGGACAATCGTGGACTAAACAAAACTGCTTTGGACCTGACTGAACTTTTTGTCAAAGTTAAAAAAAAAGATATTTGGAAAAACTTTTCATTTTGCAAAGGTGGCAAAAACAATTGCCAACTACAGGTCTGCTTTGAGGAATTTCTCCACAACACGTCTTGCACTAGCTGTTTTCGAAGCTTTTTTCAGCGGGTTTTGACTGCAAGAAGAAGAAAAATCCTCAGGTTTTTTCCGGGTTCGATAAAAACATGTCTTACTGGAGTAGCACTGTGTCACGACAAAGATCTTACGCTGAAATTCGGAGGCGTTTGAGAAGCTCGTACAATCTAGACTTAGCTTTATTCCAACAAGAAAGAAAAAAAATCTACCAGCAAGGAAAAACTGTGGTCATCGATTTCCGGAAGGAATTGTGATGTTTTGTTAACGTTTGGGCTCTGTGTGATAGTTGTAAATGGTTGGAGAATGGTTGGATGAAAAAAATGCAAAAGTAACAAAAAGTATTATCCATTGGAATCTGCCACGCAACAAATCCTGGACAATCAAATGGGCATCATAATACACACACACACAAACCGTTATTTTTATATTTAATAATAATTCAATGCAAAATAGTAGTTTAACAAGTTCAAGATTTTTTTTTTTTTTTTTTGTTAAACACCAATATTACCATTTAAAATAGTCTTAAAATTGAGATTTAAGTTCAGTTTTTTTATGTGACAACTTTATAGTTCTTGAATGGCACCAGACATGTACATTTGAAAGAAACATAGGATTTAGAAGTGTTTGTCCTAATTTCCTTTATAAACATAATTACGTTATATTGAATTGATTGCACAATTTAAAGCTGGGGTACCTAATTTTCACACCGCAACAATTTAACTATATTATAACTTCCATGTCACTAGTTCCTCACTCTCAAAACTTCTATCACTAGTTCTCACATGCATTTGGCCACTGTCACTTGTCACTGTCAACTTTTTCAGACAGAAAAAGTGAAAACGAGGCAACCGCCCTCACTCAGCCAATCAGCTCTCAGCCCAAAAACGTCATTTGTGACTCAAAGGGCTCTTTTCTTACAAGTATGCAAAAGAGGACATGTTTTCTAACCAATGTGATGATGGCATGTTGTCAATTTGTTCACAACATTTTACTTTGACAAGACTCTTTCTAAACGTATTTATGAATCAAAAATGTGCATCCGTTACTCTTGCAGTCGTCCACCTTTCTGAACTATTGACAACTAAAACAGTCCGACAATTCCTTTTCTCTGTGATTCTTAGCCATCTTTGCATCGATTTGTGTAATTTGCAATGACTCCGGTTTTCAGCCTTGTTTTTGTCCAACACACAAACCTCGACATGACGCCCTCACCTCATACTTGTACAGTGAAAAATACAGTATTCAAATGCACTATTACCTCTGTTTCAAAGACAAAGGCAAATGGGGAAGTTGTTCATTCATTCATTCATTCATTTCTTGGCACTTAAAGGTCCCTACGTTGTGTTTTGTCGACAAAAAACATCCATGATTATAATGTTGTTTTCTCTTTACAAACTGACACCGAGTTGTGTTTTGATTTCTCATGGCTGCGTGTTTGAGTTAACCGGTTCGATTATGCAATTTTCAATCAAAGAGCTGAAATCGCTGCAGGATGTCAGTCAGTGGTAATTCAGGATGCGCTCCTTGGGGGGAAAAAAAAGTATGAAAACAAAAACGGAATCACGTATTTTAAACAATATACTTAGTTCCAGCCAATCAGCTCTCAGCCCAAAGCTACACTGACTAACAAGGTTCTTTGTAGCAAGTATGCAAAATATAACATGTTTTATAAAAATATTAAAATTCATTCCAAACTTTTGCGTGTAAAAATAAAGGCTTGTTTTAAAGCTGGGGTACCAAACTTTCGCACCACCAAACATTTAATTACCTCACAGTTCCATAATCTCAAAACTTGTATGTATGACGGAAAAGTTATACATACAACTTTTCCGTCATAAATACAAGCAAGCGCACCATCCTCATTCAGCCAATCAGCTCTCAGCCCAAACCGTCAAAGAGTGACTCACAGGGTTCCTTCTTAATATTCTTAATATTGTAGAAACAAGATGAAGAGAAAATGTCGAGGCCTGATTTGTTCACAGCGTCATAATTTATGCAAGGCTCTTTCTATTGGAACAAACGACATGTATTGTTTTGCTAGCATAAAGGTGAGGTCGCTCAGCTTTAATTCAATGCCATTTACAAACAAACAAACCCTTCAGCGTAACACAACTTACAACTTTTTTTCCCGATGGATTTCAAAGCAAGCGCACTGACAGACTGGTGGAGTAAGAGCACCCTCTACTGGCAAAAAGTTGTAATGCTCACACATGCCTGGAGAAAAAAGTAAGGATTAAAAAAAAAATACTTAGACTAACGTACAGTCTACTCATTTATTGGTAGACTATAGAATTGATTTCAAAACTATGGAATAGAATAAGAAACACCTCAATTACCCTTTCAATTGAATATCACATATGGATTTCTAAGGTCAAAGGAGCGCAAAAGTGACTGAAAACAGGACCAAAAAACACATTTTTAACCATGGAGTCAAATCATATTGGACATAGTTTGGCTGTTTTTTCATCTTCACACAATATTATACCCTCTAAAGGTGAAAAGATAGAATAGTTACTTTGGCTTTCTTTCGTTTTTGACGTCTTTAAAATACTGCATCCGCCAACAATCTAACGCGGGACAAAGGAATAGAATCAGAGACTTGTTCAAAAACTGAAAATGAGATGTCTTTTTATTGTTTACTTTTACACAGCTCCTTGCATATGAGAAAGAATATGCCTTTTTTGTTTTTTTTACATTCTGGGTAAAGTAATTCATCAACAGCAAGCGAACATGACCACTGTTACACGGCAAAACAGATTGAAAAGAATAAGTACATTTTGATTTGAGTTGGTAAAACTTGTCTGGTTTTGTCTTTTTCTATGCAGACAATTTTTGGGCCAATTCTTCATTTGGGTAAAAATCTTGATCCATTGGCCATTCCAGTGTTAAATAACATTGAGCTCTCGTGAAATAGATTTTTGACAATGGGTTTTTTAAAGTCATTGGGGGAAGATGAATACTTTCAAAACATTTCACAAATAAACAGGCAAAATCTACAGCTGCTAATCCATGTGCTGGTAAGTTCTGGTATAATGAACTTTGATTACTGTTATTTTTGAGACCAGTAATACCAGGTTTAAGACTTCACATTATGGCTTTAAGATCCAACTTTTTAAGACCTCAACAACACCCAGATTTTGTCACCAAACAAGGCCCGGTATTCATGGTTATACTGTGACTTGAAACAAAAGAGAAATGTAAAATACGGTGTCTTGCAAAAGTATTTATTTGTGATATTTTACTGAAAGACCACAACAAAGTAACAGACAACTCTGAAACTTTGGCACTCTTACACCATTTTTTGCAATGTTTTTCTATGTTTTCAGGAGTCACATGACCACACCATATTGGAAATAAAAGTGGTCGACATTTCTCATATTTATAAAAACTTTGGTTTATAGCATTTTTTAAATTCAACTTTTTTCACTATTTTGAAAAGAAATAGGCCTTCGTTATTTTTAAATTGTTCCTTTGGCCCCTAAAAATATCTTTTCTTATGAATAAAGAAATAATTAAAAAACTAAAAAGTAGCTTAATACTGTGTGGAATTCCCAGCTCCAGCTACTTTTCTTCCAATAATCCCCTGCATTTTTCTTCATCAACTCTGACACTCTTCTCTGTCCCTTCTGAAGAAAAGCAGCCCTATAACACGATGCTGCCACCCCCATATTCACACTGCACTGAGGCTGATGAGCAGTGCTTGTTTTGAGCCATTTTGACGTACAGTGCCTTGCGAAAGTATTCGGCCCCCTTGAACCTTTCAACATGTCGCCACATTTCAGGCTTCAAACATGAAGATATAACATTTTAATTTTTTGTCATGAATCAACAGCAAGTGGGACACAATCATGAAGTTCATCCAGAGTGATCATGGGCCTCTTGGCTGTATCTCTGATCAGTCTTCTCCTTGTTTGAGATGAAAGTTTGGAGGGACGGCCGGGTCTTGGTAGATTTGCAGTGGTCTGGTACTCCTTCCATTTCAATATAATTGCTTGCACAGTGCTCCTTGAGATGTTTAAAGCTTGGGAAATCTTTTTGTATCCAAATCCGGCTTTAAACTTCTCCACAACAGTATCTCGGACCTGCCTGGTGTGTTCCTTTGTCTTCATGGTTCTCTCTGCGCTTTAAACATAACCCTGATACTATCAAAGAGCAGGTGCATTTATACAGAGACTTGATTACACACAGGTGCATTCTATTTATCATCATCAGTCATTTATGACAACATTGGATCATTCAAAGATCCTCACTGAACTTCTGGAGTGAGTTTGCTGCACTGAAAGTAAAGGGGCCAAATAATATTGCACGCCCCACTTTTCAGTTTTTTATTTGTTAAAAAAGTTTAAATTATCCAATAAATTTTGTCCCACTTCACGATTGTGTCCCACTTGTTGTTGATTCATGACAAAACATAAAAAAAATATATCTTTATGTTTGAAGACTGAAATGTAGCAAAATGTTGAAAGGTTCAAGGGGGCCAAATACTTTCGCAAGGCACTGCATATATGGCCTTTTTCTT